TTGTTAAGTAATTGGTTAAATTTGTACGAAACACGGTCTAAAATGAGTGTAGAAGTAACCCGGGTAGAAATCCGCACCCCCCCCCCCCCGCTCCCACACCACACCACACTCATACCTGGAAATATCTTTCTGACAGAATGGTAATTACTATGTTTCTTAAGGATTTTCTCTTGTTGTGTATGAATCTGCGGATATGCTATAAGAGATGTTGTGATAATTTCGAAAATCTGAACATACCTCTTGTCTCCGCTTTAAAAATAAGAATTTAAAAAAAGGGCTCTGATAAGCACTGCCTCCTGACATGCTCTTTCCAACAAAAAAATTTAAATAGATAGAATGAACCCGGCCAGAGAAATCTTGCACGCCTGATGAACTATCTTCGACTCTTGTTTGGTGAGGAGCTTTGTCGAATATCATGATATACGGTTGAAAATTTTCTCATAGCCTCTGCACTATATCTAGAACATATCCTAAAAATTCCAACCAATTCCGCTGTACCTGATCTGACATTGATTTTTCAGGGATAAATCTTAATCCTTTGGTAATTACTAAAAATTCCATAAAAGTTAGGTAGAAAATTCTTTTCATATTTTAGTATGCTACAAGATTACATAAGAAATTTGTTTTGAAGCAGTGACAATTTTTATGCTTTCCTTAATATAGATTTCATGGTTGATAGTATTTTTTATATTGTTATGTTAGTTTACTTCGTTATGACATATGAGTAATTTTTGAAAACGTCTTGGAAATTTGCTTCTGGTGTATGAGTGAATATTAAAAACTTGCAATGAAGTTCTACATTTTATTTATGGATAATCCCATGTACTAGATAAGATGTTTTAATAATTCGAATATTTGCTGAAAATATTATTTTACTTAGTATTATCTTCTAAAATTATATGATTCGTCAGACAAATTTCTTATTTTTCTGAAACTCGAACACTATTACAAAGCATAAATATAAAAAAGTACTTTGCTAAAGTGATTAACAACATTAAAAAAATGACATATACATCATTCAAGTTATATTAACTGTACTGTTTTATGTTTGTTGATAAAATATTAGCTTGTTGTTATTATTTTGCATGAATCAACAAATATTAAAAAAACATAGCTTTAGATTTCATTTAAGTTTCTTCAAAAGCAAAAAATTCATTTTTGTTTTTGAAGACTCGATTGATTGAATATGATTAATTATAAAATATCACTGAAAGTTACATTTTATAATTTTAAATAGTTTCAATCATTTCATAGTTATTGAGTAATAGATGAGTTTTACCTTATTGCTGAAGAATTTATTCACTTCTATGTATTTTAGAGTACTTATTTATTTTTTGAAAGATTACATGTTTGTGTTTTTCTTTGATTTTATCTTTTGTTTTGAATATACTACATTGATTCTTTTTTTTAATTACTTGTATATGTTTACATTAGGACTTATAAATATAAAAAGAAACTTAACAATAATAGAAAGTTACACTCTATTTCCTTTTTCGAAACATTATTTAAATAGGAATCAATCTTCGAAAGAAGATCACTGGTTTTCTTATTGAATAATATTTCATGCTTATATAAATATTTCTGGGTTATTTTATATCAGTAAAGCTAAAATAGAAGCAAAAATCAAACGAGAAAGATAAATATTACAATCCAAAGGAAAAGAAGGCGAAAAAATAATATATGTGGAAAAATTAAAAAAGGAAAGGATAAATTGCATTTTCTTGAATAGGAAACATACAAAATGTACATTTGAGTTGGTTAGGGATTATTCGCAAATGATATCTAAGTAGAGGGGAGAATAGAAACTGTAAGCGTCCATGATGGATCACTTGGACGCTAAACGATGATTAAGCTGCGCCTTCTAGTCTAATTGGCTTAGGACAACTGTCCGGATAGCAGGAGGTAGGGCTTCGATTCCCATGAAGGTCATCTTTTTCATCGTTCTGTCACATAACATCAGTGACACTGCTTGTCTCTTTCGTTCTATACATATTAGAGCTTACAGAAACGAATGTATTGAGATCGAACAAATCAAGATAGAGAACAGAGAATTAATCAAAATTTTACCAAAGAATATTCATATCGTAGGCAAGTGTTTTTAGTGGTCTCATGATCTAAATCAATTCAAAGTTGAACCAATTTTCATGAGTTTAGACGAATATGCTAGTTGTTCTCTCAATTGTTTTGATCTTTTCATGCGATAAAATACATGTTTTAGTTTTACGTAATGAAGTTAATAATTTAAAAGCGAGATTTTAACTTAATCACTTTTACAGAAATGTTCTTCGAAAGTACGTAAAAAAGTAAAATTCTCCATTTGATAAATTAAGAATCGAGAAAAACTGAATATGGTTTAAAAAATATGACCCTTATGTGCTTCTGTCAGGATTAGATCGATTATTTTCTGTTCGATAATTGAACTCTCATATTAACTAAATTTTCCTACTCATTACATAGAAATCTGTTTGTTACTAAACAGTTATTAATTTCAAATGTTTTCTCACCCTAAATTACATTACGAATTATAACTTTTGTTGAAGAGAATTAAGCTTGATCTTTTTATATAACTTTAAATAAATTTAGTTTGAAGTTTTTATTTGAAGAAAAATATGTACATTTCTAATAAGATAAACTACGGATAGCATGACATTAAAATTTCGTTTTTCTTTACTTACACAATTTCAAATGAAAAACAAAATTTTGAAGAAAAACATCATTTATATATCTGTAACTTAAGGCCCCCCCCCCCCCTCAAAAATGTCGAGTTTCGTCAGAAAAACGAAATTTGAGATAAGTGCACAGCTGAATACTATGATACCTGAAAGTTGAGAATCCACATGATTTTCAGGTTTCGTTCTCCAAAAACCTGGGTTTTTCGCAAAAAAATATATTTTCGGCACCATACATAAATTTTTTAAAAAATTGTTTTTTTTTTAGAAAAAAATAAGATTTTGGAGAAAAAGGTTATTTTTCCATTAAAAAAAGTAATTCTTGAGTGGTAAAGGATGGTTAGATAGTTTAGTTTATGTCATCCAGATCATTTGATTATAGGCCAGTAGGCTATTTTGTTCAAACTTATAACAGCGTTCGTATCTGTCAGAAAACCATTCTGATAGTTGGTATAAAAGTTTTTAAAAATTTATCTTACTCGAAATGATTAATATTCACTGTAAATAGGCCATTTCAAACAGACGAAAATTTAGAAATGACAAAAAGCTTTATTAGAAAAAAAAGCTTTTTTATCATACGTACAAATAAAAAAAACATAGAACGTCTTTATAGATATACATGTAAATATACATAAAAAATAGAAAAAAAACAAAAACACCCACACCCACACACACGCTGAATACGTGAAGCTGCTCTCTGAGACTGGCTACATTTTTTGTTCAAGTATTTCTAATTGCAGCTCCTATGAACCCGCACAATTTTTCAAAAACAAAATTCGAAAATTTAGATAAATAGCCATCAGCATCTCGCCTCCTATGGTAACGCCTTGAAAGACCATTTTACCAAGTTGAAAGAGGTTTTTTATACGGTTTCATGAGAACTTTTCGTAAAGAAACTTCTAAAGAAGAACAAAAGTTATATCCTTTGACTAACCAGAGATATTCACATGATAAACAATGTTTCTCGAAAATTTCACATAAAGAAATTGTTTTACGTTTTTCTCAAAATGGTGGTTGATTGACGCATCTCTAGCAAGTCAACTTTAATGCGATATAAAGTCAAATATTTTTTTTTGTTTGAAAGAGCATGTCACAATGCAGTGCCCATGAGAGCCCTTTTTTTGATAAAGCTGCCTTATTATTATATTGAAAAGCGACTTTATAATAGAAGCATGATTTTTTTGAGGGTTTTTGAGTAGTTGAATTTGTGAAATCTTTTTTTCTTCATAAAGATATGAATTTTAAAAAAAGGGCCCTCATAGGCACTGCATCCGGACATGCTCTTTCGTATGAAAAAACAATCAACCATATTGCATGAATACCCATAGAGATTTTTTGGAGATGCGATAAGCTATTTTTCGACCCTGTTTTGGTTTGTATGTACTTTATACATTAGAATAGGAGGCTGAAAATTTTATCATAGACGTACTTTTACACCCCCAACATATTCCCAAAGTTTCATGGCATCTCGATGTTCCAGAGCTGAGATCGTATTTTGAGGGGGGGGGGGGGCTTAATATAAGTAAAAGATATTATTCAATTGTGTGCCGTGTATTAGCATCCATATCTTCTTGTTCATCAATATATTTTCTAACAAGTGGAACAAAATCAAGAAAATCTTTGTTACCATTTATAATTTCATTCATGAAAATTTGAGAAGTGTAAGTAGCATATCGAAAATAAAATTTTTCTCAGCGCACTGAATCCTGATGTTGTGCTATATTCATATTTTCATTAATCTGAGATATTGGTATTGTTAAATCAAGGTCATAAGTTATTATAACTCTTTTATTTATATTAAATTTAAAGAAAGAACTCATTTACGTACATCCATTGGTCGAAATTCTACTCGTCATCCTATTGATTTATCATTTAATGGTAGTGGTTTTAATCTTAAACTATTCCATAGATGACTGTTTATATTCTAAAATGAATTGATTTAAACTAAATAACAGTAAATGAAAATAACTAACTTCAAAATGATACGAAGTCGTATCATCAATCGGATGAAGAAGTTCCTTTAAAATAACAAGGGGGATCATGAATAAATAAATGACGAGATAATGTTCCAGGCATTCCTTTTTCATTAGAAAAGGTCTTTTCTAACACAACAGAAAAAAGAAATTCTCATGAAAAAACCTTAATCAACTGGATAATCAATATCATTTATATGTTTATTTTTATCAGCTAAATACAATGGAGTTAAACCTTAACGGTATAGAATGTTTTTTTGTTTTTTTTTCTTCAGTTGTTCGATCATCAGCAGCTTCACTTAATATATTCCATCGACAATCTATATCCGATAAAAAATCACGTAATATTGGACATGCAGCGCTTAAACATAACTATTTAAAAAAACATATTCCAATTTCAAAGAAAGAAAAATAAAATAAAATAAAATATACCATTATTGGATATAATGGTAATAATTGATCATATAAATGAGTAGTTTCTTTAAATGATTGATCTTGAAATGTAGTTTGAAGACAACAACAACCCCGACCAGCTAGTGAACTATCCAAATGAATATGATCATCTTTAAATAATTCATCTCGGAATGGAGACGGTGTACATGAATCTTTGAATACTAAAAAAACAAATTAAATATCTTTTTGCTAAAAACTAAATAGGTCATGAACAAAAGACAGTTTTCAAACGATTATGAAAAATCTTTGAATTTTTCTTTTGGTACTATTGAAGAATGTTTTATCGGAAAAAAAATATCGAAAATTTCATCTCAATTAGAATAAGGAACAGTTGTCATAGGATTAAAATTTTCAAAATACTTTCTTCGAAAAGTTAGCAAATGACTGCGTCAAATTGTTTGAGTAATTTTCTTATCTAGTGATATAACGGAGAGTTAAAATCTAGTCTTTATTGCTTGTTGCGTGTAAGTAAATAAATACTGTTTGTTTTTTGAGTTTAGCTATAAACTATACTATTTTAATCGTTTGCCTTTATTTTTCGACTACGAAGCAGGAGAGTTATTAAATCTAATTGTTTTGTATAGATTTCATCTTGTTGCAAGATTAATAAATCTTTATCATAGATCTGTCGGCATATTCTTTAGGAATAAGATCCATTAGTGATGTTTCTCGGAACTAAACTAGGTCAAAAATACTTCAAGTTCATCATTTAAACTAAACCTATGACGAGCTTTTTAATACATGAATGATCAAGATTCTTTTTTTATTCGAATTTTTTAAGTATGTGAAATGTTTTTAAAATTTGACATTGAGTTAATTCAAAATTAGGAATTATTGCTTAAAAAGGAATTGAATTTCTTTTTCGAAATAATGTTTCGTTGGCACAAAAACCAATAGTTTATAGTTTCATAATCACTCAAGCACAAAGTTGTTTTTTTTTCTCTGAAGAAATAAAGCCTAATATAGCACAAGTCACATAGTTGACAGCAATAAAGAAGATACATTATTCTATNCGAGTAGGGATTTTACACCCCTATGAGTTGTCTACAGAATGTACCATTTAGTTTTCAAAAATGTTATACTAGTTCGAAGTTTTTTTAAATTAAAATGCATCGAGTGGAAATTGATGTCCTTTTTTGTGTCACGTCGCTAACGCTAGTTTTGTAGTGATAACTCCTCTCAACAAAGGCCTCGAGGGCTGATTTTTTCAGAGTGTCTGGAGTAACTTACCTTACATATAACATATAAAAATTAGCTCTTAGGAAGTTCATTATCCCAAGATATACGCGTTGCAATTTTACGAAGTCACGTCGCTAACAAATGATTTTGCCCATATATTATTGTTTATTCAATTTTTAACGTCAGAAAAATTGAACAAAAAAAAGGGAATATACAAATAATTGACAAAGTATAATAAAAGAAACAGCTATCTATGATGTTTCTGTATTAGAAGGATTTTATTGGAATCATGTTACAATTTTTATTTTTTATACTATAAGAGTACAAAATATTTTCCTAAAACTAATTAAATTTTATTTAAAAACTCTTTTCATAAATAAAGTTTTATGAAAAACATACAAGAAGTTTCTATTGAAGAACTTCGTAAATTGTGTGCACATAATAAGAATCGATATGATAGTGCCATTCGATATTTGTCTTATTGTCGTTTTCAAACATAATCAAATGCTGAATATAATCATTGTATTCTTGATTTCATGCTTTTACAATGTTCATAGAGCTTATCATTAAATGAAACCGATGACTTTTTGACAACAATCAAATGAAAAAATCATTGTTATGGAAAATATCTTTTATTAATAAACAATCGATTGAAGTTCAAAATATTATCAATAGAAATATTAATTGTAATTTTATAATTTTTTTATTTCAAGCAGTCATGATCAGTTTCAACCTTGCTTAAGGGTCTCATGAGATGAGTTCGTACGTTCGGATATATCAGAGATACGTACCTTTCTATTCTAACTAGAAACAAATCTAGTAGAATATAAGTGTTCTATATTAAAAAATAATATAGTTACAACTTAAATTAAATTATTTTTCAATATAGAACATATATTTTACTAGATTTGTTTCTAGTTAGAATAGAAAGGTACATATCTCTGATATGTCCGAACATACGAAGTCATCTCATGAGACCCTTAAGCAAGGTCGAAATCGGTCATGACTGCTTGAAATGAAAAATAAAAAATAAATTCATATTTTTATGTCCTTTTCGATTTTTTTCTGTGTATTTGAATTGAAATATAACAATTTTATAAAGTATTCGTATTACTCTAGTACTCAACATCAATAAAAAAATCGATGTTTTCTTTCAATTTACATATGTAAACTAATAGATGATGCAGTATTAGAGAATTCCTAGCAGTCGTATTCAATATCCAACATTTTCGATATTTTCGATGTTTTCCTTTTCGTCATTTTGACTTTCGGTGTTGTGCCACTTTACCAATAAAGTTAGCTTGGTAAGATATTTGACCATTCTCTTTTCTCTATTCCTAAATTGATATATTTTTCTATTTTGTGAATTTGTGAGTGAATGGAGATGGTAGAGCAATCGTGACAATATAAGAATGCAATCATCGAAAAAAGAGCAGCATCTCGTCTGTTAATATATTAGTCTATACACGTCAGTGTTATTTTTTTTTTCGTTCGACAAGGTCAACCATTTTATTCTCCAATGAGAAGAGTGCTTATGAACAATAAGTCCGGTCAGATATAAATATATATATCATCTGGAAAAAAAAAGTCATAATTGCATTTAAATATGAATCTACATACTATTCATCTTTTTGATTTACCCAATGAAATATTATTTTTAATCTTGAAAAAACTCGACAATATGAATGTTCTTTACTCGCTATTAGATGTCAATAATCAGCGACTTGATATTATAGCGCAAGAACAAATTTTCACTAACAATCTTAATTTTGTTTTAACATTATCAAATGATGAAATTTCTTCAATTTCTGATTCGATATTTGATCGATTTGGTTTCAATATATTGCCAAGAATTCATCATAATGTTAAATCTCTCACTCTTGAATCAGCTTCTATGGAACGTATTCTTCGTGTGGCCGATTATCCAAATCTTACTAAACTTAAACTTTTCAATTTCAACAAAGAAATCGTCTCATATTATTTTAAAGGTAAGAATCTCATGTGTAAAACTCTATTTAAGGCTTGAGGTTCAAGAAACATTGAAAAAGCAAAGTTTATACAATATTCATGTGTCTTTTATTTTGTTTAGACGATTCTATCTTTAAACATATTTTTAAACAACAAATTACAGATCTTATTCTTATCATTAATGAAGATAACATGGAAATAATAAGAAAAGATTATACTATAAAAGTTTTTGCATTTATCTTGACTTTCTTTGAAAATTTAAAACATTTGACTATTATACCATCATCTATCAACAATTATCCATTCATATCATTATATGATTTACCATCGACAATTTTTTCCTCTTTGATACTTACTAAATTATGTATTAATATGTAGATGATTTTCATAATTGTCTCGCTTTACTTGATGGTTGTCTCAGACAATTAACTACATTCATCATACAAGTTAATTATATCAGCAAGAAGCCATCGACATCATTCAACATGGTGAGTTTATGCTTCACATTGTTTTTTTAATTCATATTTAATGCCAATAATCAATATAAAGTTCAACAGATAAACAAGTTTTTGTATGAACAAATAGGATATGTTGATTTTGATCATTAAAACAATTTTCAAAAATAGACTAGTAATTATTTTTATGTTATTTTATAATTAACTACTATTTGTTTGGAATTAGTTTAATCAATAACTAATTGTTTAATAAATATTCATTGTATCAGATAAGATAAAAGAAAATATTTGGTCTTTTATATCTTTCCTATTAGTTATTTTGAAAATAACTATTCAGTCAATCATAATTTTTTAACGTTCATTAAAGCATGATGTTCGAATGAATATAATTTTTTGATACAATTATTAACTTGTTATTTTTATACAAAGATTTCTGCTTTGTAATAAATGCATGATGAATTTCATCGACTGATTACAAATATGTCATGAAAACTTATTTTTATACTAGGTTAGACTTCGTATATACCGCATGGATGTTTTCTCTGTAAGTGCCATCCGTTAACTATCCTATATATGGCCATGAGTTTAAATCACTCTATGAGTTACTACTCCTACCGTCTCCCTGTTGCGTGTGTTTCGTTTGATAGGTTGTGTGCCTATATCCCTGGATTTTACATATTCTGTCTGGAAGCTTTGTCTGTTTGACTGGTATGTGCATAACGCATACTTTACTTTCCTACTTGAGAAGCAGGGAGTCATTCTAGGGATATAATCAGCGATGGATCTTGGAACTGAACCCTATATTCGCATAAACGACTTCAATCCACATCTTCGCTGCCCCTTTTCTACCTCATCCATAACCAAAACTTTGCCTATGCTCCTAATTGATTCACTGAATTGCTATTCTGTGTCATATAGTTTGTATATGAGCAAGGCTCTCGATGTGTGTGCAGTACATAGTGGGCAGAAAAAGAGGTTTAGAAGCATTTTCCAGATGCCAAATCTCTTTCGAGTCAAGACTATATGCATTATGTAGTCGTTAACGAGATATGAATATTCTGAAAAGAGTACGTGCTCCTAGCTTTTGTTTGTTGAGATATTTAATTTTTACGGCATTTTTTAGCAAAAAGCATGGTTTTCCTCAGGAACACATGAAGAATCAATTTTCGAATTTCCACTTGAAACTTTTGCGTAGAGAAGAGAATCTCGATGACACTCATCTATTCTGAAAATTTCAGGTTTTGGAATTGTTTCTATCCTGAGATAAGGGTATAGAAAAAAAATAGTCTTGCATATCACTTATCACAGGAGATGTTAAATGTGAGATCGGTGTTGTGCTACAAAATGTCGTACAAATCAAATATCTCGATAAGGGTTCAATGAGGCATCTACTGAAGATAGATCATGATATTTTCTATCAAATGATAAATTAAAACTTGAATTAAAAATCCGGCGAACAAATTGCTTTATGCGCCAGTATCTATTTTACACTATACTAATGGTAAGTTTTTAATTTTATTATAGCTTAAAGAACTTCGAGAAGTCCGAACGGCCTGTAATATATAGTAAATACATAACACTGTATAATTATATAATAATGAAAGAATATAACTACGTCTTCAATTTAAAACATACATGTTACTTATATGGTCCCATTAATGATATTCACCTATTTTACGTACTTTGTGATACCTTCTATTCACTATATACTCGCTATAGTGCAGCATGCAAGATGTACTTAAATGCAGGACCATAGTAGCTTCATTGCCAGTTATGATATAGTTTCGAAAATCGATTTTGTCGTCTGAATGCCCACTGTGCGTGGGGGCGCCTAAAATTTAGCAGACAGTTTTTGAGCAAATGTTTAAAATTTTTGCAGATACGGGGGGAAAAGGGCCGGAAGCTAGCCCTGCCCCCCCCCCCCCCCCCGCTCCAGCCTCTCCCACATCGTAGGCCCTGAATATGAGGTGTTACATTAACCTCTGAATCTTTGAGCTGGAACGTGCACTGTGATTTGTGATAGTAGAAATGGATAATATTTTTTTACTTTATCATATTATTCAGTAGTTTCTACATGTTAATACTTTAGATATATAAAAATATAATTATATTAATGATGATCAATAGTGAGTACTTTGTACAATAGAAATAAGATCTATCAATTAATTGATTGTTCATCTGAACGCTGTTTTTTGTAGCACAATTAACAAAATATATTAATACATATTTCTTGCTATTTTCTTCGGAAGATCTACCTAATCTCAAATTTTTTTTGTTAATTTGTTATAATTCTACTGATGGATATGACAATCAAGTTGTACCTCTTCTTCGTCGAATGTCACATCTTGAAGAATTAACTTTGTATCTTCGTATATTGAATCGACCAATATTCATCGATGGTACTCATCTTCATAATGAAATTCTTATTCATATGCCACGACTTCATATATTCAAGTTTTATATTACTACTGAAAATAAGATTGATGATTCTATTGTTCATCTATCAAATGATGATATTCAACGAACTTTTGAAAATCTAGAACATCGACAGATGACTTGTTTTATAGATTATTTCAATAATTACAAAGCCATATGTCGCATATTTTCACTTCCATTTCAATTTGATCGTCTTGAAGATATTACAAATCATTTTCCAAATATTATATTCAATTATGCAACTCATTTGAAAGTATATGATAAGATTCCATTCAAGCATGAATTTTTCGTTCGTGTTGCTCGATCTTTTCCATTGCTTCAATGTTTTTCAGTTGAAAATCTTCTACCACCATTTTGGATATTTAACAAACCTCTACGTATCAATGATGAATGGTATTCGGTTGTTGAATATCCTCATCTTATTTCACTTGACATTAGTTATTCAAATATTTATTATATTGAACAATTTCTCAATGAAGCTTATACATATCTACCCTGTCTAACTGAATTAAAATTTTCATATAATTCTTTGGAATTTGTGACAGACAACTTTGCAAGAGGTACAACACGACGCAATTGTGCTAAAGTGAAGCGATTAATTGCCGGCAATTCGATAATCATTTATTCAGAAAAAGTTTATAGATATTTTCCTTCAATGTAAATTCGATTTTGTTCTAATATTATTTCAAAACAAATCTATGAAGTAAAAATTCTCATTTTTTTCTGACTTAGTGAGAGATGAAATGGCAAAAAGCATGAATTGTTTACGGAGATCAAATTTACTATGAAAACTATAGCTTTTATTCTAAAAACAATTGTTTGTATAAGTTTATTTGCTTGCATTGTAATAAAATTGTATAGATGAACATAAATTGATGGCAAAGTTCATTATATATATCATACTTTTATATGTTTTTGGTTACATGCTTGTGTAATTATATCATATAGTGATAATGATTGAATTGATATTAATTTAGAATTTTGATCATAGTATATAGTGTGTCCAAAAAGTTTTTTCTATATTTTTGCTATTTCATAATCTTTATGGAAAATTTTGTTTTTAAATTATAGATGGATATACCGAATTTTTATTTATCCCAACAGCATTTCATACTAACCTGCAAAAGTATCACTTTTGATCGAAATACAAAAATTTTGCTGTTTTTTTTTGTATTTTTAGAAAAACATTATGCATCCGTTTTTTTTTCTTTAATTCTTTCGACCTTCTATGGTAGTTTTCTGTAAATTCCGCATAAAAAAAGGCTCAAAAATATTTTAATATTCATATTCTTGGAGAACTCGACGAGCTCTATCCGTATGAAAATATCAAAGAAAAAAGACTAGTTAGATTTATTAATTACGGCTTTCCCAAGCAGAACGCGGTGATGTTTTGACCCCAATATTATTAATTTTTCTCAGCAAACAGATTATCTAATAAGTTCTCTTTTTCATTATCAGATGTGTCTCTGCCTTCTCGTTAATCTCGGAAAATTTGAGCTCGTTTGAATGAGTCGTTTGTAGGAGGTAGGATATGTCTAATATATAAAGAAAAATGTTTGTTTGTTCGTTCTTAATGCATTTGAACCCCGTAGAAGCCAGTTCAATCAAAGTTTGCATGGCATACCCTTTCGTTAAAGGGAAAAGTCAAGGACTAATTTTCGATTCAAAATTTCGATCTCCAGGGTACTTAGTAACTCCATTGTTCCAGCACTATAGTAGATATTCGATCCAACATGTCTGTGCATGTGATTGTTTCCTCAATAACTCGAGAACGAAAGAAAATAAAGACCTGCAGGTTTCGCAATTCGACACAACAGATTCTAGAGTATGAAGGTATACTGAAATCTGATTGGCCAGCAAACCGACCAACAAGATGAATTCATTGGTAAAAATTTTGGAAACTATAGTGCACAAGGATTTTCGATTGAAATTTTGCTTGAAATACGACTATTAAACAGAGAAGTTTGTCCTCTATCGAACCATGTAATCTCGAGGTTCTCCCGTTGTTTTATGTAGAAGGTTCAAACCATCTATCTCAGACTGAAGAAACACTAAAAACGAAAAAACCTTTCAGTGAAATCCCTATGGAATTAAATGTGAAACACAATGCAGTCGGTTTCATTCTAGTTGTAGACATATATCACAGTCAACATCATTAAGAAGGTAATAAGAAATGTCAGCGGCACTAATATCAGGGGATGGGAAATTCCCCCAAAATTTGAAAAATTCTTTGTTTTTTTCTTGGCCAAAAGCAAAAAAGCCTGTTTTTCCCTATGTTTCTCAGAAAAATTTTTGTTAACTCACCATCCATATCAGGGTAACCACTGGCGCTCGAGCGAGAAAATGTCTTGCGGACTCAAAAATCCAACTTCTTCTTCCCCATTTTTGGACCCTACTTGCCACTTTAAGAGCTACACATCGAAAATCTCTGTTGTGGTCTGTAGAACAGGGTAGAAGTTCACTTTACTCCCTATGAAGTTCAACGCATATTTTCAATTGTAATTCACAAAATATTAAGAACAAAACTTTTAAATTTAAAAATGTCAAAATCTTTAAAAAAAACATAAAAATGGTAAGGGTTCTGAATGCATTTTGAACCATCCAAGATCAGTAATTATAGGAAGCCATAAGGCTATCGTTTCCCCGCTTGTCATAAATGAAATGTTGAATTTACCCCAGCAATGCCGGGTGCTTCGGCTAGTTTTGAATATTTTATAGAGCACTAGTTTTCAGTAAATTTTCATGTTCCAAAGAACAGTAAGAGAAATCAGCGAAATTTTTTTTATCATAGATGCTATTGACGATGGGCGATCTTTTCATTATAATCAAAGTACCTCATCGCTGGATAATTGTTGCTTGGTATTAAGTGCCATTTGCAGAAAACATACCCACGTTGATAAGGCAAGTTAGTCGGACCAGTGAAATAGATTTGCTTGAAAATAATTTCATTTGAAAGAGCATATCAAAATGCACGAATGACGTCTTCAAAACTTTGTGATGTTGAATTTTAGTATAGAAAATATTTTCAACAATATTTTGCTAATTTTATCAAAAATTCTCTTTGTGAAAATAGTTATACTCGGTATTTTAAATATATTATTAGTTTAAATTCATGTTCTTGAACAACTATTTATATATTCTGATAGCCCATGAAATTTTCTACAACTTGATATATAGACATCTTGAATTACATTTATTCACTAAAAACAATTTCAAGCACAATAAAGCCGTCCTCAAGTCACTCTTTTCGATTTGTAGTTTTTTGTTCTTTTTATAATCATTTGTTCAATATTATTGTAACCCTTTCATTATGGCATGTCATCTAGTCTTCTTAAAACAAGAACATTGTATGATATGTTGAAAGGAAAATAACAAAAAGTTTCGTTTGATAGAGATGATGATAGTTCATTAAATTTAGATATGAAAGATCTTTAGAAGTTACAGCAAATAAACTTAACGAAGCTTATGATATTTGCGAAAATGAGTCACTACCCAATGTTTCAATCGTTACGACAGGCTGCTCTATTCCATAAACAAAAGCACATCAAATTATCACTGAGTACATTTTAATAATGCCAGCCAAAGTATAGTTTATCCAAGATTTCACGAACAACATGCACAGGATCGATTTAAAGTTACATAACCTAGATACCAATGTTAGAGAATATGAACAATGAAAAGAATTCACTGTTTTTAGATGACGACGTCGTTCGTCATTTTAAATTATTTATCAATAAATATAAAGTGAAAACTAATGTATATATACAAGATATATAACCGTTTGATTAAATTCAAAGCGAAAATCGATATGGAAAAAAAATACGTTGACAATAAATCTTGTGCAGTGTTTTTTCAAATAACCTGTGTGTCAAAAGCCTTTGCACAACATCTCTGTTCGATTTTTCTTCATTCATAGGTTGCAGGAGAGAATCAAAAGTAGTCAGCTAAAACGTGAATTTCATGCCCTTTCTAAATATATATTCAGAATTTTTTTTCTGTCTTGAAGTTGATTCATTAAAAGCAAACTTTTTATAAGACTCAATAATGATGTTTGTACAAAACACTAGTTTCATGGATCTTGGTAAATATGTTTGCTCATTTTTCTGGCATTTAAATGTAATTGTAGAGGATGAAAAGTAGTAATTCAGAATCAGAATTTGATTTTCTCTCTAAATATATCTTTAGAATTTTGCTCTGATTTATGGCTGATTAGCTGAAAGCAAATATTTGAATAAATAAAAAACGTCGTTCGCATCACCTAAATAGACTTTGTATCCTGTCGTTCGAAATTTCTCTAAAATGTACTTTTGAACAGTTTTCACTTCCTATTGTTGTAGAATATTTGATGTTTTACAAAATCATAGATTACAATAACCTAGAACTCAAAAGAGTCAAAAGCCATAAGCATCTTACGAAACACTACTTATAACATTAAATGGTATTTTTCAAAATACTCACTTTTTGTGCATTTCGATGTTTAAAATACAAGAAATTTTGATGGGTTGGAATACCATGTAGGGAGCAAAGCAAATCGAGCATTTTGTAGAGCAAGCTTCAGCCTACCAGCTGATATATAAAAAGTTTGCTTTTAATGAATCAACTTCAAGGCATAAAAACAATCTGAATATATATTTAAAAAGAGCATGAAATTCTCCTTTAGCTGACTACTTCTGATTCTCTCCCTTAACCTATAAGTGGACAAAAATTGAACAGAGATGTTGAGCAAAGACTTTTTACATGCAGGTCATTTCGAAAACAATGGTTTTGTGTATTTCAGGTAAAGATAATTATTTTGAATATTTTTTTTTGTACCAAATTAGATGAAGTAAAACTTAAAAGAATATACTATCATACTATAAAAAAAAGCATTAAATTGCTTCAATCATATAAGAGATATTCGTGTAAACTTGTCGTTCGGATTTTTGAGATACCACGTATAATACTCAAATATATTTATTAATATATTTTTAATTAAAATAAGAAAAAAGTTGTAAATTTTATAATTGTCTTTCGAAAAAAAAATTCATTTTTTATCTCTAGATGTCGTTAATAGCCTGAAGAATGTGGTTGTTCATATAATTGGAGAAATAATAATGTTCGTAGTAAATAAATAAATAAATAATTTACGATATCATATAAAATCTGTTCATCAGTTAGAAACTTCTTGAAATTTTAGATGTCTCAGAAGAAAAACTATCGAAATTTAATCAATAATAAATTCAATTTAAGTTTTGTAAGATAATCTTTTTTCTAAAGACCATTTAAAACTTATTATTTAAAATGTTTATTGATAACCAATGAATTATTACATATGCTGTTAATTCTCTAATGATAAGTTTAATAATTTTCTTCTGTTTATTGTAAATAAGATAAGTGATTATTTTTTAATTGTAATCTATCATCATATAAACAATAACTGAGATAAGTGAAAAATATTAAAAATTTAATATAGAAAAATTCTTAATAACTTGTTCTAATTCATCTTGAAATTCTTTGTTTATACTTCTAATCGTGTTACTTGTTTAATTAAGAAAAATAGTTCAATTAATTCTAAATAAATATATCGATATGTCGGACTATTGTAATAAAATTGTTAGGTTTACGCTTCGATTGATAGTATCTATTGTATTGTCTTTTAACTGGTGGATCAAATTTTTCTGC